CTATAACTTTTCATCTCCTAGGTGGCTGGTACCATGAAGCTGGAGTTGGCTCAGTACCGTGAGGTGGCTGCCTTTGCCCAGTTTGGTTCCGATCTGGATGCTGCTACCCAGCAGCTCCTCAACAGAGGTGTCAGGCTCACTGAGCTGCTGAAGCAGGGACAGTACTGTGAGTGTCAAACCTGAGTGTATAATGCCTCTTTAAATGGAAGTTCTGAGCTGGTTTTGCATGTACTGAAGTCAAAGTTCTCTTCTTTTAGCTCCCATGGCCATTGAGGAGCAGGTAGCAGTCATCTACGCCGGTGTCAGAGGTCACTTGGACAAAATGGAGCCCAGCAAAATCACAAAGTTTGAGAAGGCTTTCCTGCAGCACATTCTCAGCCAGCAACAGGAGCTGCTTTCCACCATCAAGTGAGCTAGGACTTCAGTTTTTATCTTGCAAGTAGTGGGGGGGTGGGTAGGGCATTGATTAACTTGACCTGTTCTCTTTTTCAGGGCTGATGGCAAGATTTCAGAGGCGTCAGATGCTAAACTGAAGCAGATTGTACTGAACTTCCTGTCCAGTTTTGAGTAATGAATTGCACTTCTCTTGATCTTCAGTGACTATCAGTGTCCTCATAGAGCTTATATGTGTGAAAAGACCGATGGCCAAAACCTCCATGTACAGATTTCTCCAAATAAAAATGTCCAACCTGGCTGTGCCGTACAATTCTTCTGACTGTGCTCGACTACAGCTGAGCTTTCTGTTGGGGCTGAGGAGCAGATTTCAACCGAGGCAGACGGAACCATAAGTGTTTGTTTTTGTCCGTTTTTATTTACCAGAATAAGTTGTTCAAGGATTCAGGGTTCTTTATTGTCGTTCGCACCACATGTGGTACATGAGGTGGAATGAAATTGTGTACACGGGGTCCCAGTTACATCCAACAAAAGTATGAAATGTAAAAGAAAAACTAATAAGGTCTAAGATATGAATTTAGACAAATGTTAAACTAAAAATACACTAAGCACTAGTAGTGTAAAAACAATACGCTGAACAGCAGTATGAACACGAGTCTGAGCAGATGAGTACGAATGAACACGGCATGTAAATTTTTTCCACAGTGATTGCTCTTTACTGGTTTTATGAATGTGTCCAGCTGATGAGCTTTTGCTGGAACGATGTGGGATACAATTCATCCTTAATTATGAAGGTTAGTCTCATTGAGCCTTGACTCATTTACAAGAGAGACCTGTTTTTAATAAACATGACTGAAGTAGACGATCATAAATAAATGGAAGAAATCTAAAAAAAATTGATGTAAAATACTAAAAACGGGAACATGTCTGCATTAGTTGGATACAGTATTTGATACTGCAGTAATAAATCCTGTGATAGTGTGACAGATTAACTTGATTTGGTTTAGTATTCATCCAGCCACAGGCCAAACGTAGATGACTTTCCTCCATATTTGATAAGTCAGTTTTATATTTGACTTGTTGGATTCAGCAAGATCTTAAACATGCATTTAAAAAGAGTGGGGATTATTTTTTACTGAAATGAACTGATTCAGAAGGTGCAGCCAATCAAAACTGATTTTCTATCATCTCATTTTATTTTAATTGCTGCTTTATTCTGATTTTTGACTTGTATACCAAGTTTTTCAGTTCATTGATAATTTGTCAATATTGTTTATAACCATTAGGTGGCCACAGCTGCCTGTAAATATTTCAGCTTGGCAACTTGTGACCTGTGACTTGAAAGTTTAAATTTGAGTCTAAAAGTTTTTGAATAGAAGTGTCGTTCTTATCAGGTAAAACTTTAATTTTTCAGCAGAAGCCTGATCTTAGTTGTGCTTTATTTAATTGTTCTTAAAATAGACCGTTTTAAAATTTTAATATTATGGGAGAAAACTTGTTTTCACAGCAAATTTGCTAAATGCAAATCCTTTTATTTTGCAAATAGGGCGGCTGTCAGGTAATATATGTGACTTTGGTTTAGGTTTACATTACTTCAATGTTTCTCATAATCTAATCCAGGAGATTACATTTTTGATCATGTCATGCAGACCCTGCATCTGAAACATTCTGCTGTTCACTTTCCCTCTTTCTCCCAAACTGATACAACAGCTGTTTTTACAGTGAAACACTTTGGGTTCAACTTAATAAAATTTAAGTTTTAACGTCTTCACATAAACCTCAGGTTGTATTTCTTTAGGGTTACAATTTGTTCAGGTCATTTTTGTCATGCCTCCCATGAGGCCCCAGTTTAAACCCGGGGCCTCATGGGTCATTTTGTCCCAAGGGCAGCAGGAGGGTTTTTCACTCTACAGAAGTCTGAGAGTTCTCTGTATTTAGTTATCCAAGTACAACTAAACTATTGTTATTTACATTGTATTTACTTGTTATTTCAGTGACCTGTCGTTTCTATTTTGCAGACTGTGTCCTAAAACTCGTTTCTCTCCAGCAGCGTCACTGCCTGATGAGATAAAGCCAGACATGTGACAGAGAGTGAACGGAGCTGCTTTCAATAAGAACTATTGTTGATGTCAGCGTGACAATAAGAGAGCTCTGTGCAGCAGCAGATGGGTCAGGAGTCATGAGCAGCTCCACAAACCAGACACCCTTGGAATCAATTGTTTTCTTTACAAAAATCATACGATCTGCATCAGCTGAATTAAAGCGGAGTAAGTTTCACAGTTTTTGTTAATTACAGCAAACCCGTGGTTTCTGCAAGTATTTAGAAGTGAGAGGAAAACCTGTGCCTTAAAGAACAGCATATAGACAAAAAAAATGTTTCAAAATGTTTTAACAAGTTTATCCGTTTAGTCAATACCTGCAATAGTTTGAGGAATTTCAAACATTCACCATTTTAGCTCATTCTTAACTTCAAGTTAACGTGCCATGCTGAGTGACAACTCAAAGATCCATCTGTCCAGTTTAAATATTAAAACTCTTCAGACCCTGGTGCCTGTTCATGTAACTGATGTGGGATCAGGACAGAGTACCACTGCTGTTAGCTGGAGATCTTCAGTCACTGAATGTGCTGTAACTACATGGTGTTTTATCTGTGGTTGCTTGTATTTAAATGATTTAAACTGAAGTAATTCATAATAATAAGCACGTTTCTTTTTTTACTTTTTTTTCTTCATTCAACCTTTATTTATACAGGTTAGTCCCATTGAGCCATGTGGACTCATTTACAAGGGGGACCTGATTTAACAAAGAGTGATGACAACAGTGGGCAATAAAGACAATAGACAATCATGAAGGATGCGTACAAATTGAGATTTTTTTTTTACAAATGAAAATAAAATGGTATTTAAAAGAAAATGCAACAAAAAACAGCTAGATTGTAAGGCGGTGTAGAAAATTAAAAACAGGAACATGTCTGTATTGTTTTTTTCCAGGAACTTAACAGATAAAGCCACTTGAAGAGGTCAAGGTCGAGAGCTTCAGATCTTTTTGCAAGATATTCCAGGAAACAGGAGCGGAGTAGGAGAAGGCCCTTTTGCCTAGTTCAGTCCTCACTGAGGGAACACTGCAGGTAATAATGTCCTGAGAGCGCACGCTGTAGCTGCACTCATGTAGATACATGTAGGAGATGTATGAAGGCAACAGACCAAGAAGTGATTTTAAGATGAAAATGTACCAGTGGGAGAGTTTGCATAAAGTTAATGTTGTCCAGTTAACCAGTGAATACAGGGTGCAATGATGGGGTAGTTACAGTCAGTTATGAATCTTAGCGTACCAGGCAGCATCCAACATCTGCAGGGTGCTTGTGGGGGCGTTCATGTAAATAATGTCACCTTAGTCAATGGAGGGAAGGAAAGTCACAGATACAAGGCGTTTCCTAGCATTCAGAGTTAGACAGGATCCATTTCTGAAAAAGAAACAGAGTTTAAACCCAGTTTAACTTTCAGTTTCCTTATTAGGTTTTCCACGTGGAGCTTAAAAATCAACAAACTCAATTAGAGCACCATTCGAGGATAAAATCAAAGGAAGGACTGCTGGGACCGGCTTCCTGTATGACAAAAGCATCCGTTTGGTTTTATCGGCATTTAGGACAAGTTTGAGACAGAACAAATAAGACTGGATGATGTCAAAAGTGTCTTTGTCTTGAGACAAACCTTCTTGGAATCTTTTAAAGTGATTTTAAGCAATAAGTTTCAGGCTTTCTGAATTATCTTTTGCTTTTAAATATTGGACTTTGGGTTGTTTTTTCACCAACAGTTGTCACAGAATAGTTTTTGTATTTGTTAAGCCACTTCAAATCATTCTGATAAACAAATAAACGGTTGTGGTTCATGCACTGTGTTTAGGAGCACTTTCTGAATCAGACTCCTTCGTCAAACTTGATTTAACAGCAATAAGAAAAATCCATTCCTTTCTTTTACACTGACTTGTGTTGTAGTTTTCATAGAAAAAAAACACACAAACCATTTCCTTTGTATGAAAGTAACAAAAAGCACATTTATTTTCAGTTTGTGGACAAAAATATACCGGTAAGCCACTTCTTAAGGGACTATATAAAAACCAACAAAAAAAGCAAAAATCAATTGTGTTTACATAAACTTATATGAAGGAAGAATTCAACAGCCAATAGCAGCATAAATCTAAGGCATACATGATAATAAAATATATTATTTTTGAGTTGATTCTTTTATTTTTCTTTTCTTTAAGACAGCCACTATTCACAGGTACCACCGGTCTTCTGACAGCCTGCTTGCAGAACTTGCAGGAGCTTATTATATTCTAGGCAAAATGATTTCTATTGATTTAAGAAGGCAAATCAAACTAGCATGTGCTGGCAATGTCTTCTGTAGTGCACGTTTGTGTCTGAGATCAAATATTAGCAGCTACACTAGGTAGCAGCTGAAGCCTGCAGTGACAGCTCCATGCAGCTAAAGCATGTTCGTGACCTGCATCCCAACAGGCAACAGGTGATCGAAAAGGCTTCCTGTTCGTTTACGTGTTTTACAATCTTTTAGAACGGAAGTCCTGCAGATTGTTGTCTTGGAGTGTCCTGATTCAGTCAGTGCTGCCGTAGTGGTTGCCACCGCTCAGCGTTTCCTGTAAATTGTGTTCGACCTCTTCCCTCTGCGAGACCACTGGTTTCACAGGCTGCGCAAAGAAATTGGAAACACAAAAAACCTGCAAAACAAGAAATAACTTGTATTAAATAGCATGATTTAACAAGGTTTTCATTGTATATTTTAAGCAAATTACATGAAAAATACACTGCTTGGCCAAAAGCAGACAATCTGGGATTATGTTTGTAAATAGGTAAGCAGCTCCATAGACTGATATGTTTCAGCAAGTTATTGCACATAAACTGAATGCAAATTACATTTTATTAACTTTTATGTCACTGTTAATTTTGGGAAGACAGTTATTCATGCAAACATTTTATAATATTCCTGTCAGAAGTGCCTCAAACTCCACAGGAAGGGCTACATCTAGCTGCCGCCATTGTACTTGTAAACAACCGTAACATTTGTTTTGGCCACATTCATCAATCCATCAGTTAAATCAATTAAACCTTTTCTCTAAACGGAGTCGTCCAAAGAGTCATCTGCAACAGGTGTGATGTTAATTGTTCATAACCGTCCCATTGAACCCCATGCCTAAAAATGTGAACAATTGCTTTAGGTCATTAGGGCCTAACAGATGTGTAATTTTCAAGAAAAGTACATATTAGTGAGGATAACTGGATGAAAAATAACTTCAGTTTGATAAGAAGTGTGGGGATTAGTGTGTATCAATGGAAAAAGATCTGATAGGTCCACATATACCCTGATCCAGACTAATGGGAGCAGCAGAGAAAGATCTTGGCACTACAAGACATTTGCATAAACTATTGCAACAACACTGCATGTTTTTCTATAACAACAGCAACAGGAAGAGTGATGGTTTACAGTAGCATTATTGTAATGATGTGAAACTCACAGTGAAAACAGCCACTAAACCCCCCTGCAGGAGGCCTGCGAGCACATCACTCCAGTGATGTTTGTAGTCGGACACCCGGGTGAGACCCACATACACCGCAGTGGCAATAAGGAAGAACTGGATGGTGGGACGCAGGAGTCTGGTCCACTTTGACTTCATTCTGGCTTGAAGGTACAGCTGCACAAGTCAGAGGAAATATAAGTACAAGGAAGATTTAAACAAACAAGCAAATCTACAGGGTCACACTTTTTACACAAATTAGTCCATTTAAATCTATATTTGTAGGACAGATGATGCCATCTCAAATCATAAAATCAGAAGAAATATTGCTCTAGACTGCTTTAAAAAAATTACATGTATGGGTAAAGTAGTGCAATATTTCCTACACTGATGTGAACAAAGTGTGTGAAAAGTGAATTTGAAGGTAGAACAGGTACTTACAGCGAGGAACAGCATACAGTACATGGAGAAGGATGAGTGACCAGAATAGAAGGACACTCTACGGAAAATAAAATAAAAATAGAATTAATTTAAAAGCAGTCAGCTTCATTAGATCACCTTTAATTACAAACACATAAAATCTGAGCAGAAATGAGCTTTCATAACCAGGATCCAGCACCGTTTCAGGGGAATAAGAAAAGCAATGTGTCCCGCCTGTGTTGATACCATGATGTATGGAGTGGAAACAAAGGAGTGGGAGTCAAGGTGCTGCCAGTCAACACCACTTTGATCTGTCTTAAGAAACAGAAAATTCAGCTCCATCATTGTGCTTCTTACACAGAATCAGTCTAACAAGTCTTCTGTTGTTGCATCTTGTTACTTCACCTTGAAATTACTCTGGACTGGACATGTTTTTATTGCTCTTTCTGACTTGCTTTATTGTGCTGGTCCTCCTGCTGCAGCTAAGGAAACTTGTCAGCCCCATTGTAAATAACCACAATTATATTACACCAGAATAGAATGTATTTTATTTTGAAGTTTCTGCAGTGATGTCATTGACTTCCTGTTTGATCTGCAAGCTTTTATTTTGTATCTGCATTTCCTCTTTAGGGAGTGGTGTAGTTTTGTTTGCTCAAGTACGGCAGTAAGTTTCATGCTAAGTCATGGTAAATATTTTTTTTGTACTAGCAGCCCCACCGAAGAGGCAAAATGTATGTTGATTTAAGTATTTCATATATATTTATGAGTGTATGTCTGTTAGTGCATATTTTGCATATTAAGACAGAATGTTATTAGAAATGACGTAAAATAATGAGTTGCACGCTCTGTACGTGGTCCAGCTTTTAAGCTGGTGATGTGATGGACCACGGTCATTGGAAAAAGGTTGAAAGGAATTAAATATCATACAGCCATCAGTAAAGTCTCATCCTTGTTCAAAGAGGGGCCCGCTACACCCATCCTTTCCCATCACCTGCCTCCCAATGTTCCTGTTTCAGTTTCACACCTGTCTGCATCTGCATGGTTATTTATGAGTCATTCCAGTTGCAGACCTGAATCTATTACTGTAGCTACAGAGCAGACATCCACTGCATGGCTAAACTCTGTCAAAGGCTCTGCTGATTTGGTATAAATAACAAAAACTATTTGTTCCAGGGCAGTGCAGCAACTAGATGCATCAGTCCAAATCTTCCTGGTGCCTTTTCCTTTTAGTAACTTCTTGTTATTGAATCAGAACTGTGGCAGACTTGCAAAAACATTTGGTTGCATAAATGGACAGGCATGCAGAGCAGCGCTCATATTCTGATTAGCTGCTACAGCACAGCCCAAACTTTCCTCCTCCATTAGTTGACATACCTGCAGCAGATTTTTATTTTAACAGTATTTGAACCAAACAAACAAGAAAACTCAAGTGTTCAAGCTGAAACTAAAGCATCTGTTCTCATCCACCATCTGCTGTTTAACAGAACAATGTCTACTAAAAAAAGAAATACAGCATCTGGTTGGGAGTGAAACTTTGAAAAAAAATAAAGCTGGAGGAGGACTTTTATTGGATGATGGAGCAGCTTCTTAACTGGAAATAAGTGATAGTGGTTATGCAGGGATTAAAAAAATATGTGGAGGAGCAGCAACTCTACTCCATTATTGTGAACAAGGCTCATTTTTCTGGTACATAACCATTTATAGTCCAATAATAAACAATCTGCAAACACTGTTTGTACAGTGTGGGTCTCTCCATCACTGCTACAGACATGTCTGCATGAAGCTGTCAGAAACACAAACAAAGTAAATGGCCAACATCTGACTGACTGGCTAAAAGCCATCAGTTTAGAAGATCCATTCAACCTTTATTTATACAGGTTAGTCTCATTGAGCCACATGGATTCATTTACAAGAGAGACCTGTTTTAAACAAAGAACACAGATGAAGTACAGACAACAATAGAGCACCATATAACAGCATAGACAAAGAAAAGTAAATAGAAAAAGATTTAACACATCTCATGACACACTGATCTTTTCCACAACTCAAAATATTGTTTGTACGAGTAACCATTTAGTTTCCAGAAGTAAAATCACAGAAAATCTGCAAGCACTACATGATGTTTGTATCTTGATTCAGTACAGAAATAACTCCTGTTGGTTGTTGTTAAGAACCTTACCTGGCCTCATCCTCCAAAAACTCCTCTCCAGAGCAGGTGAAGTTCTCGATGTAACCACCCGCTTCGCAGTTGATACGCTCCCATGCTGGTTTGCACACAGCCAGAAAGTGCGGCCGCAGGCGGCCGATGGAGTATTTAGCGATGTCAGTCAGAGACTGGCTGGAAGCAGCTCCAAACAAATAGCTCCCCACTGCTTTATAGAGGCACGGCACATGCCTCTTCACCAAAGACTGGCTACTGGTTTGAGACAGGTACACCGAAAGAAACTCTCCACAGAAGAGCTAAGAAGGAGGAAATCAGACAGTTAGTAGGCAGCCTCTCAAACGGACAAAAGGTGTCAGAAATATCTAACTGTTGTTTAAAGGGGTGTAGTTATGGGTGGACCTGGAAGGGCCTAGATCAGAAGTGTCCAAAATGTGGCCCGAGGACCATTTACGGCCCTTGGAGTGATTTTGTGCGTCCTTCGACTGTATTTAAAGAATGGTATAATTGTGACCCACAAGTAAGAGGTTGCTGCAGATGTAGACCTTCTTTAGATTTAATGGTGATACTTTTTAAATATAATTTTTAGGTTTAACAGCAAAAAAATTTGAAAATATTTATCTCAAAATGAGCAAAATTATGTATGATACAATTTTTTTTAGCTATCATTAATCCCTTTATCCTTCAATGACCTGCCAAAAATTAGAATTCTGGACAATAATACATAACACTTAGCTAAATATATAGTGTTTTCAAAGAAAATAATTTCAGTAGATTTAACAATCGTTGGGAGAAATTGGATATTTTTAAAAGAATATAAAGTGGTATCATCGACATACAAGTTGATCAACTTTATCAGTGTCCCTTCAAACCTTCTATGAATCTGTTTTAGTGACTGACAGCTGTTTTTCAGAACTTTGATGATCCATTTGGGCCGTCCATGGTCCAAATAGAGGATTGAAGGATTGAAGTTCCATTCCCTTTTTTAAAATAACTCATTTTAGTCTTTTGTCTATAGTAATGAATGAAAATGAACTTTCAAAACACAAGAAAACAAATAATATACCCCCCCCACCCCCCAAATAAAAAAAATAAAAAAATCTAATAAATTCTTAAAATAGAAAAGGTTCATGTTTATAAGGCTCCTAATGTTCTGGATCTACAAGAATTTAAACTAAATGTTTAACCTTTCTCCAAAATATTATTCAAGTTGTTAAAAAAAAGAATGGAAAATTTTTATCTCCTTAAATTCATCATATTTTTCTGGCTCACGAGACTTTTCATCTCTAGAGTGTTCTGGCCCACCTATGAAAATGTTTGGACACCCCTGGCCTAGATCCACCCACCTTTTGACAAGACGCACCCACTTTAAAGAGAGTTTTTCCCTTACTTCGATTTTTGGCATCTAATATCTATAGTGACAATAAACAGCTAAAAAACTTACTCAATTCAATTCAATTTATTTCTATAGCACCAAGTCACAACAAAAGTCATCTCAGGGCACTGAACAGAAACATTCATATACATAAAAAGTAAGTTAATAACATTATTTATCTGAGGAGCAGACTGCTTTGAGTTTAACTTCATTACAGAACTCTCATCTTGAACAAACATGAAGGTAACTCTAATTTAACTCTAATTTATTACGTTTGCTAATTAATAAAAATGTTACTTGTGATTGTGGAACATTGTATAATCTGTGAACTGCCAGTACAGTAGATTTTTACACAAATAAATACAAACACACACATACATATATACATAGAATAATTTTCATTGACTAGTGAGATGAAAATTTGGGGGAGTTTGAATTGGCAAGCAAGAAGCATAATCGAAATTCTTTTACTTTTTATTTGAGACAGCAGGAACATTTAATTTATGGTCTTTCAAAAGCATGCTTGATTTTCTTCCTGTAGGCACAAAGGAAATTACTTTTAAATAACTAATAGTTTATGTTTTAAATATTAGCTGATTTGATACCTCAGCACATGCTTTTCCATTTTGCGTCATGTAGAAAAGTGCATTTAATGGTGATGCAGTATGAAACTCTGTACCGGACTGATTTAAAGTTACCATTAGTCATTTAAATGAATAATATTTATTAAACCGCTCCATTTATTAAACATTTGTTAACAGATTCATGGAAATAATTTTAAAAGAACTGAAGAAATGTCAGTTTTTGTGATGGGCTAAAACTAAACTTAAGGACAGGAAAGAATCCAGAATTATTTTAAAATGCTTTAATTAATATTTCTATCTTAACATGCGATTCTTGACCTGCCATTGTGTATCTGTTCCTCTCAAACCCAGCCGGTCGAAGCAGATAACCACTTGTCCTGAGCCTGTTTCTGCTAAAGGTTTCTTCCTCATGAGGGAGTTTTTCCTTTCCACTGTCGCCTTCATGCTTGCTCAAGATGAGAGTTCTGCGATCAAAGCGGTCTGCTCCTCAGATAAATAGTGTTAATTTTTTTATATATAAACGTTTCTGTTCAGTGCCCTGAGATGATTTCTATTGTGACATGGCGCTATATAAATAAACTGAATTGAATTAGTACAAATCAACATACACGATCTTGACATCACTACAAATCTTTTTTTCAAGCCCTTTCAAATTAAATGACTTGTTTTGAAAAAGCCGTGTGAAATTCTTATTTTAATGGTCACAACTGTCTGCCACAGTTTTATGGGTGACAAGCTGAGTAGTTGGTTTGATACTCTAGGCACCCTTCTAGTTTCCATCTAGTTTACAAGCTGTGTTAAATTTGGTGACCCCCCCCACCCCACATGTTCAGCCAGGCCCCCCCGTAGACTCGATTCCAGCTACGCCCCTGGTCGACTTACTACGATCAGACAGAAAGGGATCATGACTCCTCCCAGCAGCTGGTAGGATATGGTGTCATCTTTCAGAGGGTATCTGATGGACTCGTCGTTACAGAAGAAGCCCCGTTTGAAAGGTTTGTGTTGACTGGTAAGGATGCAAAAAGGAAGCCCAACTGTGAAAACAGATAAACTCATATTAAAGTTGTACTCGGTGAAACAGCTTACTGTCACAACAAAGAACAGAAGCAGACAACGTGATTTCATTCCACTACGTCGAGTGAAGTCCCTGAAGCGAAATCCTGCCTTTCTTCCTGCAACAAGTGTTTCCCTCGGCGTCATAAAAGCTACGCAATGCGAATGAACCTGAGGCGTTGAACTACTACAGAGCAGTTTTGCAACAAAGGACAAGGCCGCACAAGAAGACAAACCCTGTCGTACGATCTGCGGTCGATCTGTGGGCGAGTTCAGGTGTGACCCACACACACACATCTTCTTACTTTAAATCAAAACACACAAATCATGTTCTGACAGGCTCTGGCTGCGTGTTCCTTCATCGTCTCTTTGCCTTCAAAGTGTTTTTTATTTCCCTTACACAATGTGGCTGCTGGCTAAAAATGAAGACACTAAAGCGAGACCAGGCATTCCTCCAAAAGTAATCACCATTTTGAATGCTTTAAGGCTAAATGAGTTACCAAACAGTCACTGCAAGACAAATGACTCAGTCTGCTGCTTCTTGAACTATGAATTTATTTAGCTGGAGTCAGTGTAATTATTTTATGTTATAAAAGTACATCCGGCTGTAAAATATCAGAGATAAGTTGGCTCTTTAGTGATTTAAACTAAATCTAAATTTTGATAATAATGGCTACAACAACTATAAGTGGTGAAGAAATGTTCAATAAACATTCAGTTGATGAAACCAGGTAAATTTAATCGATATGCCTTTTAAGATACGTCACACCAAAATACAGCATGGTGAACGCACAGGAAAAATAACAAGTGACAACATCTGTAGCGTCTTGGTATTGAAATGCATTTACAAAAACAGGCTGTTCACCTAAAAGAACGTGTTTAGAATCAAAATACAGCCACTGACTTTTCGTTTGTGCCGGGATTAGTTCTGGCTAAAAAGCTAGAAGCGAAACTAGAAAATCCAGTTTGCACGTTTTGTTATCAAGCTGACCTTGTAAGGCCTTTTCACTTATAAAGTGCAGTTGTGATACGGTATCTAGAGGCAAAAGTCGACATGTTTTCAGGCAGAAAGCACGCAGACGGGCTTATCAGTGAAAAGACAGGCTGACCTCAACTTCAGAAAGACACGTCAACTATTTCTTTTTACCTCTCTGCCTTGAACAAATACCCTCATCTAAAATATTTACAGTCAAACACGGAGAATACCCCGTCAACTAATGAGGAATGAAACTGGGAGGCGGAGGAAAAGTTGGGTGCACAAAATTAAAGCTAAGTCCAAAAGAGAAAGACTCCAAAAGTATTTAAGAATTCAGGACTAACTACTTGACCCAATGCAGGTTTGAACCTAAACTCACTCAAAAACCTCGGTAGAAAACATTTTTACTAATGAGCATCATAAAGTCTTAAAGTTTTAAAGAGAAACGGAAGAAGCTTCCAAAATAAAAGATGCTCAAAGTTTCTAGGATCCTTTCGGGAAAGACGCGGTTCTTCCTGTCAAACGTAGAAACGAAGGTCTGAATGGGATACTTCAGTTTTTTTTCAATCAATATCAACCAGTTTTTACTTTGTCATAGTTTAAAACAAAGCAGGATTTTGTGGGAGTATACCTAAGTACATTTGAAAAACTGGAAACATTACTTTACAATAAAATACCTAAAAAGTCTGAAATATATATATACCGGTACTTTAATGTCCAACATTTGAGTTTAAATACCTTTAAAGACTGTGTACTTCCACAATAGTAATTACTCTTTAAATAGGTAATGCACAGTAATACACAACATATCAGGTTCAACCTTACATAGTAATCTAGACCTGTGGCTCACAGGGCTGGGGTCATACCATACGGGACCAAAGACATGCTCATAGTCAGCCCAAGACAAAAGAGGAAGTCAGTTTTCCTCTTTCCACAGCCTCCTCTTCCAGCTCTTCTGGGAGGACTCCAAGGTATCCCCAGGACAGCTAAGACACGTAGTCTCTCAAGCGTGTCCTAGGTCCTCCTCGGGGTCTCCTCCCAGTCGGACATGCCCAGAAAGCTCCACAGTAAGGTGCTCAGGGAGCATCCTCACCAGGTGCTCGAACCACCTCAACTGGCTCCTCTCGATGTGGAGGAGCAGCGGCTCTAGAGTCTCTCCCCAATAACAGAACTTCTCACCCCATCTCTAAATAGTCCAGCCACCCTGCGGAGTAACCTCATTTGAACCGTCTGTATCCGCAATCTCCTTCTTTCGGTCACTACCCAGAGTTTGTGGCTGTAGTTGTGGGTAGGAACATAGACAGGACGGTAAAAAAGAAAGCTTCGCCTTGCAGCTCAGCTCCCTCCACCAGATTTCATGCACACTGCAGCCGTTTAACGTCACACTTCAAAATGTAGATGGTAAGTTAACGCCACACTTTTAAAGAAAGACGTGGCACGATCAGTTGGCGCTCAAAGATCGAGTTGGGGATCAGTCTCAACTACTTCCACGTCACATTTTAGCTTCATATTTGTCACAATGGCTAAGTTACAGCCCATTATGTGTGCGCTGAAGTTATTTAGCTGTGGTTACCACCTGAAATGAGGTTGTCTCCAAAAGTTAATCAGTAGTAGAGGCACTTCCAATGGTTGCTTCTTATTAAAGTCTGTCCGGTGGTTTAGAAAAACTTTACGAACCATGACACACAGACAGGAGCTCAATCATTACTGATTTTTTATGTTCTGCAGTAGGGGATAATAAATTACTACCAATATAAAGTGTTGAGTTAATACCCCATACATCAAAAAAGTCCATGCTCAATAATCCAGGTATACAATCCAACAGTTTTCAGTCAGGTCATCTGGACCGTTTCTTTTTTTGCTGCAACATTTCGCCTTCAATCCAGAAGGCTTCATCAGTCAAGGAAACACACGACACAAAACTGATTCTTCCCCCAAACAGCTTACTCCAAAGTGGAACAAACCAGTTATGTTGGTGCTAAGATGGTGTCTTTGGCACGCCCCCTCCACTGTTGCTGGCCCTCTTCCTCGTCGACAGTCACGTCGAACTGGTTCAAAACCAACAAAGCCCATGCTCTATAATCCAGGTATACAATCCAACAATTTTCAGTCAGGTCATCTGGACCGTTTCCCCATACATCCTTGGACCAGACCTGGATCTCAAGGTGTCTTAATGGTCATCAGCATATTAAGCTTAATCGGTATAAGAAATAAAACCTGTGGTCATAAATTATAAAAACAAAGATTATAGTTGATTAAATATGCCGGTGCAGATTCTCAGTTGATAGATGATGAAGCTCTGCTCCACCTGGGTGTATCTCGGGTGCGATGGGTTAAATGCCGAGAACCAATTTCATCACACTGTATGACGACAACACATAGCACTTTACTTCACGTACTTACTTTTTGTTAAATTGTTGATTGCGTATCGGTTTTATGCGATTCGTGCTTAGCGTATTTTTAGTTGACGTTTTTCTTAGTTCATATCTTGTTACGGTTTTTCTTTTACATTTTATTGTGGGATGCAACTGGGACCCTGTGGGTAATCTCGTTCCACCACATGTACCACTCTGATTGGTGAAGTTTGCACACCAGCTAGCTATAGAGAAGTTTGAGAACCACCAATCTGGGTTGATTTGACTTTGGAGACATGGAACAGAACAAGCTTCAGGACTAAATGAGGTGTAGTCAGCAGCACTGACCAAGCAGCGTGGACTCATCTCAGGGGAAGGTCAGTGTCCAGAACCTGATCACACACTGAGCTGAAAGTCTCTCAGAGTCCAAGGCATGGTTTGGTTTTAAATTCAGCAAACATACCCTGCAGCCTCTGCTCCCACACCGTGAGCTAAAAATACAGATGCGCGTGAATGAAAGAGAGAAAAAACACGCAGGGTGGGACTTTTTTTTTTCCATCTTCCTGGTTCCTGAAACCTGAAGCTCTCATATACAAATGGCTTATGCAAAGTGAACTGGCTTTTAATAACCTCACATAATAAAAAAAAAAAGTCTCACCCGTAAGACAAAAGCTGTTCTCTTTTGAAACAGAAAGTGGAGTGATTCCTGTTAAATGAAGGGTTTAGGAGAAATATTTGACATACCGAGGATAAGGCAGGCAGCATCGAGGAGGATGAGCAGGACTCCGAAGGATTCGAACATGTTGCCGTCTTGTCTTCTGTCTCTGTCCCTGGAAAAATGTCCAATCCTGTTTGTCCCGGTGCGTGGGAGAAACGAGGCGCAGCCTTTAGTCCAAGTTAAAACCAACCGGTGTCATTATTGTGACGGAGCTGCATCTACCCGGGAGCCTTGTTTTTAATAAATAAATAAATAAAAAATGGTTTAAAATGTCTGAGTCGAGTAAAAAGGTGAAGCTAGTCTAAAACAGCAGCGCCAACACGAGGGCAGGACCGCGAGACTCACAGACCATCATTACAGAGGGATTTCTTCAGCTCAAAACTCGTCCTGTCAGCAGAGGAGGACATTATAACTCACGAGACACATGCACGAGCGAACCGCAGCGTGCCTGATTAATGCTGCCTTCACGGACAGCTGGGAAACCGCATGAATTCAGTCGCTGCATCCGGCTAATTCAGTCGTGAGCAATATATGGCCCGAGGGCCAAAAGTGGCCCCTGAACAATCTCTATCCGGCCCCCAGTATAACGGAGAGTAAAACAATTTTAAATAAGTTGATGAAAACCTGCATTTTATCAATGAAATTGATAGCATCTTGGGCAAATACATCAAAAATATTTGGGTTGTAAAAGGCACAATCTTTTTAGTCTACTTATTTATTTTTATGTTTTAACTTAAATTTTTATTTTGCATATTTAAGCTAACAAATATATTTTTACAAGATAATGTTTACAGAGTATTACGTCCAAAAGATTGCTGGGGAGACGCATTTTAATCAAGCATGTATGCAAGTATGCTACAACAAGAAAAAGCCTGAAAAAAGTCACCTAGGATATCTGTTTTAAAGAAAATTTATTTTCTAATTCTTTATGAGGCTCTTTGATTGATTTTGATATCTTGATTTGGCCCTCTGGGAAAAAAATGTTGCTCACCCCTGAGCTAATTAATTCTTTATGCTGTTTAAATTGGGATTATCCAAGACTGAGTGTTAAGGTTTAAGGTTCAATGTTTCTTTATTTGTAATATGCACCACATGTGGTGGAACGGAATTGTGTATACAGGATTAGTTACATCCAACAAAAGTATAAATTGTAAAAACAGTAGTAAGATCTAAGATATGAACTATGAATTTGTTCTAAATTAAGAATACACTAAGCACTAATAGTACAATTGCAATACACCGACCAGCAGCAGCAGAATAAGTGTGATACAAGATTTAAATATTTTATCTATGTTTTGGTTGCAACATTTATGGTTTCAAGTGAAGGAAATGGGCTAAAACTCCTCAAAAGTTAAAATTCAGCACATTCAGCTAAATGGTTTTCCTGTTTATTTTACTGCTTCTGCTCACTTTGTGTGATTAAGTCATTTTTATATCAAACCGCTCATTTGGGCGGTGCTGACTTTTGAGTTTTGTGACTTTTATACTACCGTATTTAGAAATACTTTCTACACAGAAATACTTTATTTATTTAGTCCCTTCAAAAATAATGCTCTTAGAAATGTGCTTTTGTTAAATTTTTGTCCTCATGCTACATTTTAGCTATCATTCTGCTACTTTTAGCTTTTTGCTAGTCTTTTTCTGCTAATAGCTTTTGGCTACTATGTTGCTACATTTAGCTAGTCATTCATTCAATCTTTATTTATACAGGTTAGTCTCAATAAGCCTCGAGGACTCATTTACAAAAGAAACTTGTTTTCAACAAAGAAGATGTACAGACACCAGTAGATAATCATAAAATATAGAATGAAAAGTAAATAGAAGAAATTACATGAAAACGAGACAAAACCAACTACATTATAAAGCAAATTATTAAAGCACTATAGCTAGTCAGAAGTAGCTTTCAGCTTTCATTTTGCTGCTTTAAGCTGGCCTGATGCTACCTTCAGCTTTGACTAAAGTTTTGCTGTTTTTAACTTTTATATAGTTCGTTGCTGCTTTAAGTTTCATCCATTCTTTTGATTCTTTTAGGTTCTTGCTAAACTGTTAGACTTTTACTACTTTTGTGTTTTGGATAACTTTTTCATATTTTTGGATTTTGGATAATATTTTTGCTGCTTTGAGGTTTTGTCTTACCTCTGGCTACTTTTAGCTAGTATTTTACAACTTTTAGTTTTTAGCTGCCCCTTTGCTTTTTATCTTTCGGCTAACTTTTTGCTACATTTAGCTGGCCTGTTGCTACTTTCAGTAATTTTCTACTTCTTGTCATTTTCAGCTAGCATTTTGCTTATTTTAACTAGTGTTTTGCATCTTTTGCTTGAACAGCGTAATTTAGCTTCTTTATTAGTAATCTTTATTAAGGGAGTGGTGGCGCAGAGGCTAGAGAAGGTGGGCCTGTGATTGGAAGGTCACTGGTTCAACTCCCCATACCGACAATATGAAATGTGGAAAAGGTGACCCACCCTGGGCCCTTGAGCAAGGTCCTTAACCGCCACCAGCTGCCTCCCCGGGTGCCCTAGATGGCAGCTCTCTGCTCCACACAGAGGGCTGTGGTAGCTCGGTGACCTGTGGTTGCATCAGGAAGGGCATTCTGCATAAAAACAAGTGTCAAGTCTTTGTGCGGGTGTGGCAACCCCTGTAAACGGTAGCAGCCAGTGGTGATTTTAGCCTCTTTTTGGGGGGTGCTCAAGCACCTCTAAATTTTATCTCAGCACCCCTGAAAAATAAAGAAAGAGCATTAGGATTTTGTAAGGAAGCTTAGTTCCCAAATCTTAGATTCACCGAAATATTTAATAAATTTGAAATAAATATGTAAAAAATGATGGCACTCTTAAACGGGCCAGTAAAATCTATGATTTTCTTTGCACTAGTCAGATCCTCAACGCCACCTGTCAATCAACCCAGTACGCTCGTCAGCAACTGACCAATCAGCGTCCTCAATTTGTCCTGAAGGTAAATGTCCCTTACCTGCAGGAGTAACACCCCTTTTTCCTCCAACAACATTGTTGGGGTTTTGCATTACAAACGCTTTGCAGTCACAGGTTAATGGTTAAATTAAAGGTTAATGCTTGAAGCTAGCTGTGTTTTGTGTGTTTTTTATGTAGTTATGTTGCAACTTCTGGTTGCATGAGTTTAGTCTCTGCTTGCTCCTTTAAAAGTCCTATCTCATTTATGGCCATACCACCCTGACCGTGCCCAGTCTCGTCTGATCTCGGCAGGGTCAGGCCTCATTAGGATTTGGATGGGAGACTGAGAATTCCAGGTGCCATAAGCTTTTGTACTTCTCAAAAACCATACCATGGGGTGCGTTTTCAAGCCAAGAGCCTAAAGCACCCCTAAAGGTTAGATCTTAGAATCACCCCTGTTTCAGCAGTCATTATGTGCTCAGAATTTGCATCCACAGAAAATATAATTTCCCTAATTTGACTCTGAAAAGTGCAATCTGTGTGAATGCAATTGTTGCTACACAAGAAGTTCTCAATGTCAAAACTTTTTAAATATTTGGTAACTAAAAAAAAAATGCATTTATCTTTGGCTAATACTGTCTCCGATCTATAGCTACAGTTGAGTATGTAATCAGCTGCTGTTTACTAAGTTATTTAAAAGAAACTTTCTCTTAATTGTGCGTGGTCTTTTATTTATCATCAAATTTCCGAGTTGTATTTGAAGGCATCACGGGAAGAGGAAAGTGTGGAGCCAGCAGAAGAGCTTCTACAGTGGGCTGATGCAGAGCTGCTCCTCCCTGAGCACAGCTCATCCTATAAATGGAAGAGATTAGAGCACTGCAGATTATTCATTTGAAGTTTTGAAATGTTGCGTCTGTGTAAACTCATTTAATGAGAAGGAAGACAAAGAGACATCTAGTCTCCTTTAGAGACACTGTGAGTTATGATTTATGATTTTGGACTTTTTGTTTTAGGTTCTGAGTATCTCCTTCTTATTTAGTTTGTTCTTTTAAAAAATATATAATTTTCTCCCTCACATGCTTCAACTTGTCCTGTTGGTTGTCCCATCTTCTCTGTCAGCTGCTGGTTCTTGTAGCTGTTCATCTGTTTTTCTTTTCAATGCTGAAGTTGTGGCTCGACTTCCTGTTCAGATAGAGATCCGTGAGATTATTACTCATAAGAGCAGAATAAGTTGTTTCTGCAAACAACAAAAGATTTAAGGCCCTTTTTTGAGCTATGGGTTTGTATTTAATATGTAATTTACTGCATATGTTACCATTAATGTTTGTCTGCTGCTGATTTATTTGGTTACAATCACTGTAAGAGGTTCAGTAGCTTTAAACACACAGAATAACGGATAAAAAGCATGTTTAAATCTGTAATAAGTTTAGTTGTTTTGTGATTTTGTTCCACAGTTGTGTTTTTTTTTGTCTTTATCAATGTGTTGTTTAATTATTAGATTAATTTTTTTTTGTTCTGTTTTGTAAAAATTCAGTTTTCTAGTAGATTTTCTTTTTTTGGTGTGATATTTTCTTACGCCATGTTATTACTCTTTGCTTATTTGCTTGTAGTTTTGTTTTTGCTCAGATATTATTTCTGCCTTTTTTAAGATTTTTAAATGTCAGTTTAATTTTTAAGGTTTTATGACAACATGTCTTTGAATAGCTTGAAACCATTATGTTTTCTTATTAATGCATTTTAAGCTGTTCTTCTTTGTTTTGTACTTATAGGATGAGAGATATTTTCTTGATTTAAAGTCCGTGCTTGTGATGCTTTATTGCAAAAAAAAATAAAAAAAAATCAAACTCTGCTTCAACGAGCAAACAAACATTTATTAAATGATTAATTTCATTGAAATGATTTCTTTTCAAGTTGCACTAAAATCACAACATGAGACAAACAAAAATGTGTGAATTTTATCATTTTATTTAAACAAGAAGAAGTTGTTTCGGTTTAAGGACCTGTTTATTTTTGACTGAAACATTTTTTCTCTTTTGAGCACACATCTTAAAAACATCACGTAAACCATGAATGGATTATATCATTAAATCGGTTCATCCTTCTGTTTCTGGGAGCTGTGGTGGTTTTCAACCTCCTGTTTGAAGAAGAGCGCCCCGAGCTGGCTGTGTGAGGCTTCGCTCATGGCCTTGGTCTGCATGCACATCTTGTATTTGTCTGGAGGGAGCTCATCTGCACAGCTCTTCTCATGCCACAGGTGGAAAAGCCCACGAGCAGGAGCCCGGATCACCATCAGCTTACTGTGAAGGTACTTCCTGTACAGGTGCACGTCCTCCAGCCCCCAGCCCTTCATGCTGCGGTCAAACCCACCTGATGGGACAGAGACGGGTCACAAATGCATTAGATGGAGCTTTTGGCTCCTGTCTCTAAATGTCCATCATATTTCTAAGTTCCTGTGAAATTAATCAACAAAATGCTTCAGAACTCCAATCCTGATTTAGTTTTTTATATAAATTAAATTAATATATCTTCGCTTGAAGATTAAATCATAAAAGTAGACCAAATTACAGGTTTGAAACTTTTTTCTTTCTTTTTTTATCTCACTGCTCAACATTCTAGGTTTTGTTCAACGAACATTAAGTTTGATCAAATGTATGCAAACGATACTGCAAAACAGATCAGCTTCGCAGAATGGAGCTTTGTTTTATCTAAAGAAAATTATTTTATCATAAAAAAATCATTGTTTGATCCTGAAATGAAGAATGAGTTTAACTTGTGATGCAAGGTCATGTTGGAAAAATAATCTATAAATTAGCTTTTGATATTTAGGATTTTAGTTATTTTTTGTCCTTTTTGCACAATGTTAATAAAGAATACAAAGTTAGACAAAAGCATTACCTATGTTGATGAAATCTGATCTGTACTGGCAGGTCATACCGAACCCAAAGTCCCTCCAGAATCCACTTTCCTTCCTTATCACCTGAAACAGAGGGAGCGGCAGAAATCGTTTGTCACTCCCTGGATCATTTTGGCTCCAGAGGAGGTTGAATTTTTAACCAACCAGTTGTTGTTGGAGGGGAGGTGGGAGGCTTTGGTTGCTGTAGATGACAGATGGGTTGTACTGGCTGAAGAGCACGGGGTAGTACACTTTCTTTCCTGATAAAATAAAGTACAAGAAAAAGAAAAGAATTCCAGTTAAACAAATATAAAAACGTAAAATAGCTCATAAAACAGTAAAGCACCAAGAAAACATGAAATGTTAAATTTTGAAAGAGAAGCTACTGAAGCTACGGTGCATGCTTTCTTTCTTTTCTACCATTGATTGATCCACACAGTCCTGTTCCTCACCAGGTTCTGCGTTCAGACGACAGGAGGTCAAGAAGTCGGCGGTGAAGTGGATGTCCACGTCGCAGAAGAAGAGCAGAACGTTCTGTCTCCGTCTCCAAGCCCTGGCGCCCACTTCCAGGCCTCGGCCACGAGAAAACTCCTCATTCATCTGGATCAGAGTGAAGCTCCTGAACCGGGTCTCTCTGTGAGACAAAACAACGTTTTATTTTTTAAATTTCAGCAGACTTTTCTCATTTATTCAGTTTAGACGGAATGATCCTTTAAATCAGACTGTTGGACATTTGCAGTGGACGTTTCAGAGGATTCACTTTTTTTAAATCAATAAAAACATTAATTCTTTCCAATGTTTTGATTTTTATTTTGATGGATATTTTGTCTCAAAATTAATACATTTGCGGTAACTTTTTAAAATATCATAGATATATTTATTATGTTTTGCAAGCCAGTGTTTTATAAAGGCTTGAGCAGCTTGTCTCATGTTGTGACTCAAATGAAAGTGAGAAATTAAAAAATATTTAAATTGTCCAACTATGTTCAGTCCAGTCATCTGGACCGTTTCTTTTTTCTTTTTTTTTCTGAGACATTTCGTCCTTCATCCAAAGGACTTCTTCAATCTGAGGAGCCACCAAACAAACTGATTCCCACAAACATCATACTCCATAGCGGATAAAACTAGTTTGTTTGTGCTAAGATGGCCCCCGGGGCCCGCCCTCTCCCCCGTCAACTCCCCTGAGACAGCCATGCCAAAGTGGTTCAAAACACCAAAGTTCATGCTCAATAATCCAGGTAAAAATCCAACAATGTTCAGTCAGGTCATCTGGACGGTTTATTTTTTTGCTGAGAAGTTTCGCCCTTCATCCAAAGGACTTCTTCAATCTGAGGAGCCACCAAACAACTTGATTCCTACCGGGCCCCGGAGGCCATCTTAGCAACAGCAAACTGATTTTTTTTCCACTATGGAGTATGGTGTTTGTGGGACTCAGTTTTGTTTGGTGGCTCCTCAGACTGAAGAAGTCCTTTGGATGAAGGACGAAACATCTCAGCAAAAAATGAAACCATCCAGATGACCTGACTGAACATTGTTGGATTTTTACCTGGATTATTGAGCATGAACTTTGGTGCATTTAAATTGTGTAAAAGCTTTAGCAACTTTAACAGAAAAGTATTGTTAGGAAAAGTGCTACTACTTGTAATTTATTCAGCAACTTTTGGCCTTACAGAAGCAGAACTATTTTCGGTTTGGTCTGAAAGTGAAGTCATATCTCAGTGTGGTTCTGCTCCAGCACGGTCGACCTAGGTGGGACTCTGGTACCTGGTGGTCTGATCCAGTACGGCTTTCACCTGATCGATCTGCTCTCGACCGAAGTAGACCACAGTGAGGTGGACCCTGCCGTCCTGTCGGATGCACACTTCTCTAAACCAAACATGAACAAATAAGCACATGCAAATCACGTGTTAATAATTCATAGATTGACCAGTTAAAATCAGATGTTTCAACAGAAATGACACCATCTGATGTAACAGCTGGACTCTCAGGCTTTGAGGAACATGACTCTAAATAAAAATGCTCCTAAATTTAGATTTATTTCTCCAGTTGAGAACCAAAAAGTCATCTTTTCCATTTTGTGCAAACGTTTAGACTGATGACTGGAAGCTGCCAACATGCTTTGATAAACTCTGGGTGGTTCATTGCTGTTAGCCAACAGGCGTGGAAGCATTTTCTTTTAATTTCAGACTTATTTTGGAAACTTACGCAGATATTTGTTTCAGAAATCCAAACTGAAGTTGTGTGGTGACATTTTTTTTATCTCAAATGACAAGATTGTTTATTTGAGGGGTTCTAATTACGTTTATTAAATCCTCATGGTGTCATATCTATGATTTTTTTTCAGTAGAGATGTAAAGAAAAAGATCCACTAAAATAGATTAATAATTTCCCACTAAAGTAGACTTACAGTATTTATTTTTGTTTGATAATTTTCCTCCAAACTTACCTGAAGTTGTTGATGAACTGCTTGAATGCCTCCATCCTCTTGGAGAGCGGAACGATAACGTTGATGACGATGCTGTGCGTGTTCACGCTCTCACTCCTCACTTTCATCACCGGGCCCAAGGGCCTGAAGAGGACGAGCTGCGTGAAGCTCCGAGGAGCGTCGCCTGTAAACGTCAGCTCATAGACGCTGCCTCTGTCCCGCTCTGTGCGAGTCAGCCCTGAAACAGAGAGGAGAGCGTCACAGACGTTCACATTCATGTTTCAGAACTAACTAACTAACTAACTAACTAACTAACTAACTAACTAACTAAC